TGATGAGGTCCCGTCGACCTTGCAGCGGTGCGACGGAGATCCGGTCCGGCGAGAACTTGAAGTAGCCGTACGCCGGTGCAATCCTGCCCGCCGTCACGTGTGTTGTCACCGAGAGCCCTCCACCACTTCGTGGAGGAGAACGGCGTCGAACATCGACGTCGGCATGCGAGCTCCCTACAGCAGCCGTCGACCGCTGCACTCGCGCCTGGATTCCGTCGACACCACCGTCGACCTTGATCACTCCTCTCTGCCTCGTGCCTTTGCTGCCGCTGACTCGTGCACCACCGTCGACCTCGTCGTCGACGCCACCTTCGTTGCGCACCGGTCGAGGAGAAGCAGGACGGGAAGGGTGTTCCGTCGCCCACTGCGACTGGATGCCCAACTCGGCGATCACCAAGGGGATCATCCCGTACTCGCCATCCGCGTGGCGTTTCCTCGCGTCAGCAAAACGTGCCTCCAAGGTGTCCGCTACACCCGCATCAACTACGGGGTCGACCATGGCGACTATCGCTGCTGCCGGCCTACGAACGACTTAGTAGGTGCAAAAGTCGGCTCCTATCTGAAGGTCGCGTGTTCGATCCACGCTCACCGCACTATGCGGAGATTCACTCTACAAAGGTAGTGAGCTAGACTACGGGGTTGGCACGAACAACTAGAGGTGATCGTAGCTTTCCTTGGTTCCTTAGTGCTTGCACATTCACGGGAGAAAACTGCAAGAGTTTTCACTAGCAAAGTTGGAATACAAGAATAATGAAACAAGCAATGACAACAATGACTATATCACGCACCTAGCAACCCTGCTGCTAGCCTGGTCGACCGCTAGGACAGCTCATTCGATCGCCTGCCAGCGTTGCGTAGAGGAGCCGCGCCAGCACTGCAGAAAGGCGACCTGCCAACGTAGCAGGTCCACAGCGTGCCAACGCTGCAGCAGAGCGGCTGTCCAGCGTTGCCGCGTAGAACACAACAGTGTGACGCTCGCAGGTGTGCGCAGGTGACTGGCCCGACTTGCCTCGTTGGGCATTCGTCGGCTGTTGTCTGCGCCTGACGAGCCATATCGACTCCGGGATACCAGCCCGCAGTCGCCTGCGCCATCGCAACCTCGACGACGTTCGAGTGCCTCCGCAGAACTCGTCGAGCAGGTTACTCGGTCGACCCGGTCGACCACCAGGTGCTTCCGGTCGACCACCACTGCTTCTGGTCGACCAACAGGTCCCTCTGGTCGACCACAACTCCTGTCGAGCTACCCCCTGGTCGACGGACCCCTTCCGTCGACCAAAACCATTAGCGGTTGTCGTCGAGCTCCCCTCTGACAAAGTTTGAAGAAAGAAAGAGGAATGAACTAGCAGAAATGGGGATACAAATAGCAAACCCTAGAAGGGTTGTACTCGCTATAGAGCACCCCACTACAGGCTAGAACATAAGAATAATATTCTGACACACCCCCATAGCCAAAGTGGGGTGTAATCAGCAGAGCAGGCAAAGCAAAACAAGCTCAGAGTGGATCACAATGTCACCACACATTCTGAGCACAAGTTCAAGAAGAAATAGTTTTGAGTTCACAATTATAAGCAAAGCTAGTGGTAGTCACAACGGGCAAGTGAGGAGGAGGAGAGAGAGTGAGGGGAGAGGAGACAGGAGGCGACGGCTGAAGCTGCAGACACACGGGCAACAGGAGGCAGACTGGCACAGCGGCTACCGGACAGCGCCCGGACTACAGGAGTAACAGGCCCCGCGGCTCAAATAGCGGCGGACGGGCAACGGACCCACGGGCGGCTGGCACAGCTGGCTACGACTGGGCTACCGGGACAGCGCCCCGGACTACACGTGCTGCGGACGACAAGCCGGCAGCCTCCGCTCAACCTCCCGCAAACAGTCCCACCCCCCTGATACACACCCACTGCTACACCGCTAGCTCTACTCCCACGCACCCCCCCTTAAACCCTAAACCCCAGTCTCCCACACAACCACCCCCTTCAGCGACAGCTGCAGCAGTGGGAGACGAAGGAGGAGGAGCAAGGGAGGAAGGCACACCGGCCACCCCCATACCCGCCACCCGACGGGCGACGGGAAATGGCAGGGGGAAGGGGGGGGGGGGGGGGGGGGGGGGGGTGTGGTGAAAGGGGCCCACCACGGGCCTGGTTGGAGGGCGGGGCCGCGACAAGGGGCGGGACCGCGACGGTCGAGGCGGGGCCGCGACAAGGGGCGGGGGCCGCGACGTAGGGCGGGGCCGCTTCGAGGGGCGGGGCCGCGACGCAGGGCGGGGCCGCGACGTAGGGCGGGGCCGCGTCGAGGGGCGGGGCCGCGACGGTCGGGGCGGGGCCGTGACATAGGGCGGGGCCGCTTCGAGGGGCGGGGCCGCGACGCAGGGCGGGGGCCGCGACGTAGGGCGGGGCCGCGTCGAGGGGCGGGGCCGCGACGGTCGGGGCCGCTTCGAGGGGCTGGGCCGCGACGCAGGGCGGGGCCGCGACGTAGGGCAGAAGCCCGCCGCGCGCCTCGGGGCGCACAGCGGGCAAAGAACCGCCGCGCGCCTCGGGGCGCACGGCGGGCAGAAAACCGCCGCGCGCCTCGGGGCGCACGGCGGGAGGAAAAAGTAGCAGCGGAAGCGAGGTGGTAACCCACCCACAGGATCGATCCAAGGGGATCGACCTGCTCTAATAGCATGACAAAGTTTGAAGAAAGAAAGAGGAATGAACTAGCAGAAATGGGGATACAAATAGCAAACCCTAGAAGGGTTGTACTCGCTATAGAGCACCCCACTACAGGCTAGAACATAAGAATAATATTCTGACACCCTCGTCGACCGCTGCTCACTTGTCAGGTCGTCGGACTGCTCCGTCAACCTCCCGGTCGAACTGCAGGTCCTGGTCGACGTCCCACCTGTCGCCCAGACCAGTCAGTTGCAGCTGTCGAGCTCCCTAGTCGACAGCAACACCACAGCGGTCCTCTGCAGCTCGACGAAGCCTGTCTAGCAGCTCTCCCACTGTGAACGGTCGGTTGCTACTTCCGTACATCCGACCATGTCGTTGGCGTTGCCCAAGCGAGGGCGGGGCCAACACTCCATTCCTGTTAACAGACAGCTCTCCTTGGCTCCAATTCGGTTGAACAGGCTCAGGAGGCTCAAACAACTGGAGGTTATTGACTGCCACTCACTGCGTGAATCCATCCAATTTCTGCCGCCCTTTCTTGAGAAGCTGAGCCTTGCGACCAGCGACAGCACTGCCCCTCTTGTGGCAATGCCAATGCTGCCAGAGCTGAGACATTTAAGTCTATCTTGGGTCCGTGTGGACCAAGCACTTAAACTCAGCGAAAGCTTGTCGGGTCTGAGGCATTTGGAGCTGTTCTTAGAGAAAACTGCAACAGAGCTTCCATTCCCGCTGGCATCCCTTCCCCACCTGCGCACCTTGGCGATCTATCATGCTGCCAAGATTCCCCGACTGGAAGAGAGTATCGGCTCAGCTCTGCAGGAGCTAAAGGAGCTAGAGATACACAATGCTGCGGAATTGGCTGAGTTGCCGGAGAGCATTGTGGAGCTGCAGCAGCTGACTTCATTGGAGGTTCATGCATGCAGCAGCCTGGCTTCCCTCCCAGAAGGCATCGGTGCCTTGACCAGGCTGCGCAAACTGACCGTGTCGGATTGCAAGGCATTGATGCAGCTTCCTGCTTCTCTCACCCACCTCTCATGCCTGACTGAGCTCGATCTTTCCTCCGCCCGCATCGACTCGCTTCCTCCCCACTTTGTGCGGCTGGGCAGCCTAAGGCGGCTAGTCTTGGATGGGTGTTGGCGGCTCACGGCGCTGCCGTGTGACATGGCTGAGTTGAAGATGCTGCTGTATCTGGGTGTTAAGCGGTGCAAGCAGTTGCTGGATCGTGATGGGTATGTAAAGCCCAGTAGCTCGGATACTAGTTAAGTGCTTCAAATAGGGCTTAAGTGAGTTAGTGGACATCACTGAGTGGCTTGCTTGGAACCACAAGAGGTTTGAATCTGTAAAGCAAACATGCTGCTGAGACATGTTGCCCATGTTTATGTAGTTGCTGCTGCACATGTTCCTGTACTTGCTTATATGTTGTGCCTTTGTATGCACCTGTATGACTTCCTCTGGTCTAGAAGGCAGAGCTGAGATTTCATGTTGAGGAGAAAGACAATTGAAGATATGCTTTGCATTACCGTATTCTCTCGGACATAACACCCTAGGGTATAGCTAAAAATTCAGGGAAAAAATGGGGGGGGTCTCCTCATAGGAAAAAAATACATAATACCCGGGTCTTTACATATGGCATATTTTAGTGTTAGTGTTTTTTTAATTAGTCAATGTGGGTGTTTTGCTGGTCGTTTTAGCATCACTGCCTGAGGCGCGAATGTGAGTTTCGGCCTCGAACTTCATCGCCCCCACGAAAATGGCATGTGGCACCTCTCTTGCCACTTGCAACGGAAGATTCACCTGCACGTGGCGACAGAGAAATACTGTCATCACCCGGATATAAGACAGTGTTGAATAGTAGACAGGGGTTGTCTATTATACGGGTGTCTCTTATAAACGGGGTAGCCTCATTATAAGACACCTATTTGTGTGTAGGGGCAAATGGCAAATGTATAACGAGGAAGTATCTTCTAAACGGATTTTTGTCCATTTATAAGACTGATTTTTTTAATGCATGAGATAAGACATACATGTCTTATATCCGGGCGATGACGGTAGTGGGAGGGGGCAAATCTCGGCAGATTGCCTTTGAATGTACCGCGAAATTTCATCGAGGGAGAAATTCACACGATATTCTTCCGCTACTCGTTAACGACTATAATAATGAATCCGTAAGAAAAGGGGGGTGTTATAGAAAATCAGCCAAAAAGGGGGGTATAGTAGAAACGAGGTCTATCATAACACCCACCCCGCACAAGCTACCCGGGGGTGTACAATTATGGGGGGGTGTTTTGTCCGGGAGTATACGGTATGTTAATTCCAGTAGTTCTATAGCTAATCAAATATTGTACATCAGCTTGATCACTCGTCATCATCATCACACAAGTCAATTATTTCCTCATCATCATCTACAGCCACCACTGCCGGCTCAGCTCCACTCATCTGTTGCTGCTCTTGTTTCACATCCGGCACACCTTCCCCTTGTAACACCAGCTGCTGCTGCTGCTGCTGCTGCTGCTGCCCCAACGGCTGCTGCTGCTGCTCCTGCTTTTGGGACCTTCCATCAAGTGGGCTCTCCACATGAGCCTCCTCTTTGCCTGCACCACCCGAGTGCTTCTCACCGGAGCAGCTCTGCTCACCATTCTCCTCTGTAGCCCGCTTCCCATCCACACTCTTCTTCCCACCACCCTGTTCCACAACAGCGTGATTTTCATCAGGCCCTGAAGCACCACTTGCTTTGCTGCCTGCCGCGTGCTTCCCCCCAGCGTGGATGAGAGGGGCGCCAGTCGCTTGCACACCCGCACTGCCCTGCTCTGCCACTGAAGGCACTGCAGGCGGTATCTCAGGTGACTGCAACGGCTGCACAGGAGGGGATCTCTTCAAAGAGGATCTCGTCAAACGTGCTTCAGTGGGAGGTAATTTTGGTAAACGTGTTCTTGCGGGAGGTGATTTCGCCGAAGCTGGTTTTGCCGGAGGTGATTTCGCCGAGGCTGATTTTTCCAAAGCTGGCTTTGTTGGTAGTGCAGGGACCACCTCCGCAACCGTGTTGTCATTCTCTGCTGGCACTCCAGCGGCCTCCTGGCCAGATCCCATTGCCTTTTCTGGAGGCGCAACAGGCTCTTTGACAACCGGCTCCCCTCTCTCTGCTGGCACTCGAGCCAACTCTTGGGTCAATGCGAGAGACTTTTTCGGGGGTGCTACAGGAACTTGAACAACAGAGTGCTCTCTTTCTGGTGACACTTCCACCACCATCTCATCACCTCCTTCTGGGGGCTCCTCACTCTCCTGCCTCTGCTTTGTCTTCCCCCCTCCTCTGGACTCCGTTGTTCCCTTCAGTTGCTCTGCTTCAACCCCCTCTCCTCGCCCCTTTACGGTTCGGATCCTCGTCTGTTGCACCTCTTGAGGTGATTCTTTCTCTCGGGGTCCCCGTGCTTGTTTGACACCATCCCCGTGATCCTTCCCCACAGCGCTGCCTCCGCCATCCACACCACCGCCTGATTGACCCTGCGTGGTTGGCTCCTTGTGGCCCTGCGTGATTTGCTTCACAGAACCACCGTCAGCAGAAAGAGACCCTGCAGGAGGAGCAGGAGGAGTGGCAGAACCAGCAGGAGCAGCAGGAGCGGCAGTGCTAGCAACAGCCTTGGGTTCTTCACTACAATCTATTGCTGCACCAGACGCCCATGCTGCACCAGACGGCCCTGCTGCACCAGACGGCCCTGCTGCACCAGATGGCCCTGCTGCACCAGACGGCCCTGCTGCACCAGATGCGCCTGACCTCTCACGCTCTGCTGCTCCAGAAGGTATTGTTTTGAGCTTAGCAGAAGCATCAGCCGTAGCGCCACTCACCTCCGCTGTCTCACTCCCTGCTGCTGCTACAGCCGGGTCACGTGAGCGCGTGGCAGATGCAACCTCTCTTCCTTTCGTCGATACAGCCTCATCGGCAATATTCGCAGGGCCACTCACACTCTCCCTGGCTGCTACAACCTCCTCCCCAGGATCAGCACATGCATTGTCCCAAGCCGCTCCCACCGCTACAGCCTCGACCTTGGAATCGGAAGGTGGATTATCCCCCTCTGCTACAGCTGCCTCCGCTTCGGCATTGGAATCAGAGGATGCATTCTCCCCTGCAGCTGCCTCAGCTTCTGCGTTGAGCCGGCGGATGAGCGCTACATACGGGTCACACTCCGCCTCCTCTTGCGGCTCCTGGGAAGTAGATTCAGAGCGGTTCTGAGCTGCTGCTAATCCAGCTTCGGACTGGTTCTGAGGGGCCTTGACGGAGGAGGTAGCTTGCAGGCGACTGGCAAGGGCAGCAGCTGTGGTAGCCGCTGGAGCAGCAGCAGCATGCGTGGCTGGAGTGCCGATTACATATGGCTCTGTCCATGGCACACTGCCCTTGGGATCCTGCTGCTCTTTTTTCTGCTGCTGCTGCTGCCGCTGCTGCTGCTGCTGTTGTTTCTGCTGCTCGTTTTGCTGCGGTAGCTGGTGTGATTGAGCCTGAGTTTGTTGTTGTTGAGTCTGCAGCCCCTGCTGCAACTGCATCACAATATCCTGCTGCTCCTTCTGCCGCAGCCGCTGCTGCTGCAGCTGCTGCCGCATCCCCACCCCCACCTGCTGCTGCTGCTGCTGCTGCTGCTGGCGGCTCTTTAGTTCAGTTACCACCACGTCAATTGCAGTCTGAATGGTATCTGCAGTCACACCTGCCCCAGTGCTACCTGCATCTGCTGCTGTAGTGCGGTTCAGCTGGGACAGCCTTGCAGACTCACGCAGGCAGGCGAACGAGGCAGGCAGGGAAGAGGCGAGGGCGGGAGATGAGGCAGGCAGGGAGGAGGAGAGAGAGGAAGAGGCATTGTGTTTTTGTTCAGAGCGGCTAGTGAGACCTGAGAGATGCTGCTGCTGCTGCTGTTGCTGGTTGGATGCACGTAACTGTTGCTCTAGCTGCTGCTGCAACCGCTGTTGTTGCAGCAACTGCTGCTTCTGCTGCTCCTGCTGCTGCTGCTGTTGGTACAAGGCTCGTAACTGTTGCTCCAGCTGTTGCTGTTGCTGCTGCTCTTGCTGTTGTTGCCGCAGCTGCCGCAAATGCTGCTCCTGCTGCTGCTGTTGCAGCTGGTACAAGGCACGTAGCTGTTGCTCTAACTGTTGCTGCTGCGATTGCTGCTGCTGCTGCGGCTGCACCTGCTGCAACTGCTGCTGATACAAAGCACGCAACTGCTGCTCTAGCTGCTGCTGCTGCTCCAGCCGTTGCAATCGCTCCTGCTGCCGCAGCTGCTGCTGCAACTGCATTTGCTGCAGCCGCTGTTGCTGCTGCTGCTGCCGCCGCTGCTCCTCCTGCTGCTGCAGCAGTTGCTGCTGCTGCAACTGTCCCTGCGCTTGAGGCTGAACAGGGTCTTGAAACAACTTCTGGTACAGCTGCTCTATCTGCTGCTGACGAGTCAGTCTTTCTGGCACATCCTCTCTCTCTTGCTGCACCTGCTGCTGCAGGGTCGGATTGCTGGCCCTGCTGCTCCCATGCCCTGGGGCCTGTGCTGTGTGCCGTGGTTGAGTCGCCTGTACTGCTGCCCGTGGCACTTGTCTCTCCTGATTCAACTGCACACTTGCGTGTGCTGCATGTGGTGCATGTGACACATGCGCTGCTTGTGCCATGTGTGCTCCATGCGACACACGCGCTGTTTGAGCTCCATGTGCCATGTGCGATGAAGATGGCGCCTTCGCTGCAGTAGCAGCCACACCACCAGGTACACGACTTGCAGCAGCACTGGCAGCAGCGCGGGAGGTGGTGGTGGTGGCAGTGGTGGCAGCAGTTGCAGCGGCGGCAGCTGCAGTGGTAGCAGCAGCAGTGGTCTTGTGGTGGTATTCGAGGTTGAGAGCGCGGCACAGCAGCTCCACACGCCGCTTGCAGAACTCCACCACGCGCTTCTGCGCCGCGTTCCATGCCAGGTGCTCCTCCCGTGTCCACGGCCGTAACCGCTTGCCTGCTGGTATGCCTCCGCCTGTTGCTGCTGCTGGTAGTTGTTGTGCTGCTGGTGCTGCTGTTGGTGCTGGTGGTGCTGTTGCTGTTGCTGTTGGTGCTGGTGGTGCAGATTGTGCTGCTGTTGGCACTGATGGTGCTGCTGTTGGTGCCGCTGCTGATGCTGATGGTGCTGCTGACGCTGCTCCTGGCACCCTCTCTGGTTCTGCTTTCGCTGCTCCCCTGTCCGCTGCTTCCTCCTTCGTTTCCTCCTTCCCTCCCTCCATTGCTTCCCCCTTCACTTCTCCCTTCACTTCCGCCTTTGTTTCCTCCTTCGTTTCATCCTTTGCTTCCTCCTTCATTTCCTCTCTTTCTTTCGTTTCCTTCTCACTTGCTCCCTCCTTCGTTTCTTCCTTCACTTCTTCCTTCAATTCCTCCTTCACTCCCTCTGTTCCTTCCTCCATCGTCACGCGCTTATCAGCATCATCGACACCACTAGCACCACCATCAGCACCACTGGCACCAGCAGCAGCACTTGTTTTAGCTTTCAAACCCGCAATCATGCGATCCCCCTCAGCACCCTCTTGCACTGTTGCCGCCTTCCCCTCTGCTCTCCCCTCCGCCCTAGAACCTGCCACGTCACCCATTGCAACCTCCCCACCACCAACCACTCCCCCAGGGTTGGTTGTCACAGCATCAGGTTTGGTGGGTGCATCAGCAGGACCGGTGGTCGAAGCAACAGGATTGGTGGTCACCGCACTAGGTCTGGTAGGTGCATCACCAGGATTGGTGGGCTGGGCAGCCGAGGTGGCAACTGGGGTAGGTGGATTCGCCGGGATGTCCTCAAGGGAAAGGCCAATCATGTTGCGGGGCGGGGCGGGCGGCAGCAACAGCTCAGCGCGTGCCACGTCAGCGAGGCCCAATTTATCGTCGTTGATGATGTCACTCCACCGCCCGTAGCCGTGCCTGCGCAGGAGGGATGGGGCGAAGGTGAGGTGGAGAGGCGGTCATAGATTGGGGGGGAGAAGGGAGAGTGATGTCAGGCAGAAGGAAGAATGGAAAGCACGGGTGTGCCTGGCAAGTGGTCACTTCACACCGGCGGCAAGTGGCATGGCTAAGAGCGGTCATTGATAATGCCACGCCACTCCACCACTCGTAGCCGTGCCTGCGTGGAATTGAAAAGGCAGGCAGGGTTTTGGGGGAGGGTTGAGACGGAGTGATGGCAGGCAGGCGCAAGCAAGGCAGGACGAGAACCACATGGGTGCGTCACTACACCTCCCAAAGCACACTTGGTAATTTCTTTGAGAGGCTGCAGGTCATGCTGAGGATATGTGAAAGTGAAATGCATGCACAAGGGCCACTCACTTGGTGATGCCTTTCAGCAGCTGCAGGTCGTGCTCGGCCCGCCAGTGCCGCGTGCGGAACAGCGGCGCCAACTGGCTGTGACTCTTCAGGTGCTCTGGTAGCCCCGGCAGCAACTCCTCCCAACCCAGCTCCACCGCTTCTGCTTCTTTTTCCAACCCGTCCTCCTGCTCACCCTCCTTCTTTCTACCCTCCTTCTTTTCACCCTCATCCTTACCACCCTCCACCTCGCCCTCTCTCCTCCCTCCCTTGTCGCCCTCTCCCTCTCCCCTCACTTCCTCTCCCTTCCCTCCCTCTCCCTTCCCTTCCTCTCCCTTCCCCCCCTCTCCCTTCCCTTCCTCTCCCTTCCCTCCCTCTCCCTTACCTCCTTCTCCCTTCATACCCAGATCAACGTTTCCCTCTTCCCGCTTCTCAGCCCCCTTCGCATTTCCCTCCACGCCCTCCATCTCTGAACGCCCATCCCCCTTCCCTTCCCCCGCCACCCCTCCACGCCCCCCCTCTCCCTTCTCATCCCCTTCCCCACCACCCAAAGTCACGCCCTCCATTTCTGAAGGCACATCCCCTTTTCCTTCGCCCACCGTGCCTCCGCACACTTCCTCACCCGCCTTCCTAACAGCCTCTTCGTTCCCAAAAGGTGCTGCTGCTGCTGCTGCTGCCTCTTTTGTTGCTGCGCCTCCCGCTGCTGCCTCTGCGACCCTACACTCCACACCACTCGCGTCTGCATCCCTCTCTTCCACACCCCTTCCCTCTGCACTCCCACCCTTGGCCAGCCTCCTCGCCCTGACCCTCTCCCGCAGCCTCTCCCGGGTGCTCTCAGCCGCGGCCACCTTGGTGCGAATGAGGTGCAGCAGGGCCAGGCGGATGAGCACCTCCTGCGGATTCACGCCCTCCTTGGGCACTCCGTCTGGTGGCGGGGGGAGGACGAAGGAGGTGGGGAGGGAGGAGAAGAGGAGATGGGGATGGGGATGGGGGAAGTGAGAGGGGAAGGAGAGGGGAATGAGATGCAGAAGGGCCAGGCGGATGAGCACCTCCTTGGGACTCACGCCCTCCTTGGGAACTCCGTCTGGTGGAATGGGAAGGGGGAAGGGGAGAGAGGGGTAGGTTAGGGAAGAGGAGAAACAAGAGGAACACTCCTAGTTGACTCAGACACCGCAATATTCAAGTACAGGTATGTTGAAGATATATTTGCAGGTCCGTTGGTGGTTCAAGCATCTGAGGAGATCAATACCAGGGTGCCGCAACCAAGGGACGGGTCATGACAAGGAGGAGGAGCGAGAGTAGGGGACACAGGAAGCATGAATGAGGTTACAAGAATGAATGAAAGGTGGGTCACGTAGGATAGAAGAGCGATGATCGTACTGGGTGCACAGTGCAGCAGTGCTACATGCACAGTGCTACATGCACAGTGCTACATGCAGCGGTGCAACAGGTGCTACATGCACGGTGCTACATGCACGGTGCTACATGCACGGTGCTACATGCACGGTGCTACATGCACGGTGCTACATGCACGGTGCTACATGCACGGTGCTACATGCACGGTGCTACATGCACGGTGCTACATGCACGGTGCTACATGCACGGTGCGACATGCACGGTGCTACATGCACGGTGCTACATGCACGGTGCTACATGCACGGTGCTACATGCACGGTGCTACATGCACGGTGCGACATGCACGGTGCTACATGCACGGTGCTACATGCACGGTGCTACATGCACGGTGCTACATGCACGGTGCTACATGCACGGTGCTACATGCACGGTGCTACATGCACGGTGCTACATGCACGGTGCTACATGCACGGTGCGACATGCACGGTGCGACATGCACGGTGCTACATGCACAGTGCTACATGCACGGTGCTACATGCACGGTGCTACATGCACAGTGCTGACGCCAGAATGGGCTGCAATCGCGCGTGCTCGTATAGACACAGAGGTGAAGCCTTTTGACTTCAGTGTGGACCTCCAGGCTGCACGCCATGCAGGGCGTTGCATGCACAGTGCAACATGATGGACTGCAATCGCGCATGCAGAAAGGTGAAGCCTTTTGACTTCAATGTGGACCTCCAGGCTGCACGCCATGCAAGCGTGACGGAAGCAGAACGTGAGCAACTCTTACTGTTGCATCCTGAATCAGCTAGCAGCGTTTAGGAGCTTCTGGTCGCTATTTCACTGGACGTGATGACTTGGCTGATGACTCTGGGAGGATGAGATAGGATGACTGGCATAATCAACCAGGTCATCATGTCGTGTGCAATATCGAGAGGAAGCTCTAACACGCAGCCAGCTGATTCATGATGAAACAGCAGCATGAGTTGTCATGTCACACGTACCGCTTTCTTCATGCCTGCATGGTGTGTGTGCAGCCTGACCCATTAAAGTCGAAAGGCTTCACCTCTGTGAGCCTGGTGATCACTGAGCAACTGAAATGGAGTACCATTCAACGATTTTTTAGGCACGTCAAGAAACGATTTTTGAGGCGCCTCAAGAAAGGCTTCACCTCTGTGACGTGAGCGAGCCTGGTGATCACTGAGTAACTGGAATAGAGTACCATCCAACAGAACGGAACGCAATTGCGCGCGCTCGCATGGTGAAGCCATTGGCAGCAGTTGAAGGGGTAGGGGGAGGACGAGGCAAAGGCAGGGCACCTGAGAATGTGTCTTTGCTGGTTGGATCTTCTTGGATGTGCTTCAGATAAAGGGCACCGTAGCTGATGGACGGGGAGACGGATGATCGGAAGAAGCGTGATTCAGAATAATGGCAGGATGAGAGAGCATAGAACAAAACAACAACAAAACAACACACAACCATTCAAGAGCATAGAAATTCATCATTGGAAGATGAAAACAACAGAGAATAAACAGCAGAGAATAGTAGACGCACATGCAGATCGGCTCAATGTTGTGATTTCCTGCAATTGAGAGATTAATAAAGTCGGCTCAGAAGTAACTAAGGCCTTCATAGTCTGCTTGGTGCCTGACAGGAACTCCTTTCCAGTTGGAGCGAAACAAGGTGTCTTCTTAGTAGACACAAAAGCGCACCTGTGAAACTCAGAACTCTAATGTGAGACTCGAACTCACTCTTTTATCTCCTGCAGGGTGCGCGGCTTGAGTCGAGGCACGAACTCCTTCCAGCTGAAATCACCGATCCCGAACCTGCAGCAACAATTACAGGGAGTGGAGGGCAACAAGAGGTTGTAGCAAGGAGAGGGGAAGCAAGATGCTGGCAGGCATGCATGAGAACCCCAAGCGCCATCCCCCCAAGCAAGCACAGATTCCCCCACACTCACCGCATGATGAGCTGCTGGAAAGTCATGCGCTGCTTGGATGTGAATCTCAGCACCTTGGTGTACGGCCATGCCCCCTCCATCACATTACATGCTGGTGACTGACAGACAGGTGAAACCCATGCATGTGACCCCAAGCGCCCTTCCCCACACTCACCGCATGATGAGCTGTTGGAAGGTCATGCGCTGCTTGGATGTGAATCCCAGCACCTTGGTGTACGGCCATGCCCCCTCCATCAACGGCCACACTTTCCTCCTCACTTCCCCTGCACTCCCCCCTCCTCCCGCCCCTCCCACAGCAACACCAGGAGAGGTAGCGGGAACCGGCTTCCCGTACCTAACCTTCCTCTTCCTACCCCTCCCCATACTCTCCTCCTCAAGCTCCACATCACTCTCCCCATCCTCCCCGTCGTCCTCCTCCCCATCCTCATCATATGCCTCATCCCCCTCCCCTTCCCCCCCTTTCTCCCCCTTCCCCCCTCTCTCCCCCTTCTTACCCCCCGCCTGCTCCCCCTCCTCCTCCCCATCAACCGTGTAATCCACATGTCGTCTCGCCCGCCTTCCCTTCCCCAGCTCCAAAAACGCCTCTATTTGTTCCGCCTCGTATTTGTCTTTCAGCAGTGACTCCCAGTACGCGGCTCTTCCTGCAGCGTCTAAGCGTTTGCCGTCTCTCTCCCCCTCCCCTGCCAACTCCTGTTCTCTTTGCCTTTCCCGCTCCAGCTCTCTCTCCTTCTCTGCGTCCGCCTCAGCTTGATCTGCTTCGGATACAAAGCTGAAATTGGCAACCTGCAGTGGCAGGGAACGTTTGGCAATAGAGAGAGGGCAAGATCGTTTCACCACGAGATTACTCGATTTTAACTGAAACCTTGAAATCACTTTCAGAACCGATAGGGTATGACATAGCAGAAACGGCATCGATGTTTTTCAACTGCCTTGAAGCCCTTGGGTGGGATATTGACACTTGAGGCGTTTAGTTGAAGTAAGTTAGTGGACTTGTTGCGGTTACATTGAAGGCCTTGAGAAAATCGTTGACAGGCTCATCCCTTTTTTTCGAGCACTAAGTTAGAAGTGCTCGAGATATCAACAAATAAGGCGTTCAGTTGAAGTAACATCTCAGACCTCCTGCGATTACGTTGAAGGCTTTGAGGTAGTTCTGTCCTTGTCAGGCTCATCCCTCTTTTCAGGTGCCTTAAGTCCTTTGAGATCCCAACATTTGGCGATCTTCTTAGAATTACCTTGAATGCCTTGAGGTAGTCGTTGTCCGGCTCATCCTCCGCCCGCTCCTCGCCCACTGTGCTGCGATCCAACAGCCTAGAGGGAGGCCAGTGGGGAAGGGGGGGAGGACAGGAGGTGAGAGAGGGAGGTGCACGGGGCACTACACCTTGAATGCCTTAAGGTAGTTGAGTCATTGTCCGGCTCATCCTGCGCCTGCTCCTCGCCCACTGTGCTGCGATCCAACAGCCTGGGAGCAGGCCAGAGGGGGGGAGGGGGAGAACAGGTGAGAGAGGGAGAAGGAATAGAGTAGAGGCACCTTAGAAGCCGCCTGCTCCTCGCCCACTGTGCAGCGATCCAACAGCCAGAGACTGGAAAGAGAAAAAACGGAGGAAGTGAGAGGGAGGAGGAGAGAAAAGCGAACGGGATTGGGGAGAAGGGAGAGCAGCAGAGCAGAGGAGAGAGGAGGGGTTGAGCAAGGGTACAAACAATGAAAAGCTAAAGGAAGTGGGCTGGAAAAGGGGGTGGAAGAGATGGAGAGGGAGGGTAGGTTGAGGGGATGAATGCCTTTAGGGGAAGACGTGGGGTGGGGATAACTGTTGAAGCACACGTCCCATGCCCTCTGAGGTTGTTGCTCATTCAACTCTGACATGCCCCATGCCCTATAAAATGCACATGGCGCAACAAACGCACCTCTCAATAGCAGCATCATCGTAGTAGATCCGCCGGCTCTCCTTCTGCTTTTTCTTCTCCTTCAGTTTCTCGTCCCCGGCTGCTCCTTTCTCAGCATCCTTGTCAGCATCCTTGTCAGCATCCGTGTCAGCATCCTTGTCAGCGTCCTTGTCAGCATCCTTACTGCCTTCTCCAGCCTTGTCTCCTGCCACCTCCCCACCACCTTCCTCCTCTTTCTTCCCCTCTCCCTCCTTTGCCTCTTTCCCTTCTTCCCCTTCCTCCCCTCCTTTCCCCTCGTCCTCCTCCTCATCATCCTCTTCAAACAACTCCTTTGCTCCGAATCGCAAAATGTCATCCAACTCCTCCTGTACAGGAGCAAAGGTGCACACAGCAACAGCCACGCACACCAGCAACAGGTGCACGCATAGCAACAGGTGCACACAGTTTGAAACAAGAAGAAGCCCATTTGTCAGATGCGATGTGACATAATAAAATACTCAACCGGTTGAGGTGTCGTGTCGCATTAACCTTGTTGGTTAGGATGAGGCACCACACCCACCTGGTTGAGGTTGGATTGTTTGAGCTTCCCCACCACCACATGCTCCAGCACCATCTTCTTCTTGCTCATCTGCACCATTCGCTCCTCCACTGTTGCCCGCGTCACCAGCCGGTATATCATCACCTGTGATGGAGTGGCAGATGGAGCACCGCATACACACGCGGCACAAATACACACAGAGAGGCACGAACTTGAGAGTGCCGAGTGTGCTTGGCCCTGGCAAGCAGGGATGAGAAAGCATTTGCGTCTCATCAAATACACAGGGGAATGCCTCGTACGGAGTGGCAAAAACTTGCATACGCACGCACTGCACACGGAACGCACATATGAGTGTGCATGGTCAGTCCCTCACTCACTCACACCCATGCACCCACCCACTCTGCCCCACTCTCCCCCCTCCTCCACCAACCCCCCCACACACACACACACGCACGCCCCTACGCCCGCCCGCCCACCCGCATGCACGCACACACCCCCCTTACCGTTTGGGTCTGCCCCAGCCTGTGCGCGCGAGCCATGGCCTGCAGATCTGCATGCGGATTCCAGTCACTGCCATGGGGCAGGGAGAATGGGTGAAAAGTGGGGAAAGGGGGTAGATGGGAGTAAGCGGGTGGGGGGAAAAGAGGGAGGGGAGAGTGGTGCTAGAGGCTATTGAGAGCATATGGCGAGCCATGGCCTGCAGGTTGGCGTGCGGGTTCCAGTCACTGCCAGGGGGGTGAGGTGACAGAGCAATACTGCCACCCCACCACTACTGCCACCGCACCACTACTGCCACCCCACCACTACTGCCACCCCACCACTACTGCCACCCCACCACTACTGCCACCCCACCACTACTGCCACCCCACCATATGGGGTAAATATACTCATAGTGCCGGGCCAGGCCCCATTGCGAGTTGAAAGGAGTCTATTCTTGAGGCGCCTCAAAAGTGTGATGAGTCTATTTTTTAGTCGACTCAGAATGAGGTACCTTACGAAGAGACTACTCACAGTGCCGGGCCGGGCCGGGCCGGGCCGGGCTGGGCCCCATTGCCGAGTTGAAAGGGAGCAATACAGAGCAGCCGGACCCTGATAAAGTGAAGCTACAGCCAGAGTCTAAACTCTCAGATTACCTACCTGTCCTGTCCCATACAATCTCATTCTTTCCGCAGCCGTTGTATATCTGTAACAGCAGTGGCCAGGTTAATCCCGAGTCCCCCAGCACAAGTGGAGAGGATGAACACAAAATGAGTCGACCTCAGCAAAACCACAAACTACACTTCGAAAATACCTGTCCTATATGGTCACATCTTCTGTTTCGCACCTGTCGTATATAATCACAGTGTCAGCAGTGGCGAGGTTGATCCCCAGCCCACCAGCGCGCGTGGAGAGCAGGAACACAAAGCGGCTAGACCCGGGAGCATTGAACCGGTCGATTCGCTGCTGCCGGTCCGTGCCGCTCACGCTGCCGTCTATGCGCTCACACCCCCAGCCCTGTGGGACAGGAAATTCGGTTAAGGGGATGGAGGGAGTGGTTAGTAGGAGTAATAAGAAGAAGACTGGGCCACAGTGCGTTGAACCAATCGATGCGCTGCTGGCGGTCCGAGCCGCCACTGGTGCTGCTGCCAATGTGCTCACAACCCCAGACACCCCTGACGGATGGGGTGTTTGGGTAGGGGCGGAAGGAATGGAGCACACAGTGGCTGTGGGAGTGGAGGAAGGGTTCACCCCAACCCGCTGGATGCACACAGTGGGTGCAGTGAGTTGGATCGTCAGGCTCCCACAGTGGTGGGAGGGTAACAGAATCAGGCTCCCATCAGAGCGCTGCTGGAGGTCCGAGTGAGCTTATAAGCTCCGATTGTCTGTCAACTTGCTTTTACATCTCCACTCCACCTGGCTGGACGAAAAAAGCGGCTAACGTTGCCAGCCAGCCAGCCGCTGCTCAGCAGCAGATCGAGCACGCGCTTGAACTGCACGGAGAAATCGGCCAGGTCATTAATTGAGTCACGTGACTCATCCATCCATCCATCCAACCCAGCTCGCCTCACCATCCCCGCCTTGCTTCATCAAATCAGTACCTAAGAATCACTCACCTTGCCCATGAGCCACCCACCTTGCCCATGAGCCACCCACCTTGCCCATGAGCCACCCACCTTGCCCATGAGCCACTCCTGCAGCAGGTCGGTCCAGCATGCGCTTGAACTGTGAGTACACCAGCACGACCAACTCAGTTCTGAGATTCCTTACTTTCCAGTCCCACTCTACTCTAATGATAGTGATTCACCTTCCCCTCCCCACCACCCAGCTACCCACCTTGCCCAGGAGCCACTCCTGCAGCAGGTCCAGCATGCGCTTGAACTGCGAGTACACCAGCACAGCTGAGTCAGCTCACAGACACCAGCACAGCTGAGTCAGCTCACAGACACCAGCACAGCTGAGTCAGCTCACAGACACCAGCACAGCTGAGTCAGCTCACAGACACCTGCAGATTCACATGAGATCCGCTATTCCAATCCCACTCAACTCTAGCCAAGCCACTCACCCACCTTGCCCATGAGCCACCCACCTTGCCCATGAGCCACTCCTGCAGCAGGTCCAGCATGCGTTTGAACTGCGAGTACACCAGCACGCGATGCCCCCCCGCTTTCAGCCGCTCCAGCATTCGCTCCAGCAGAGCCAGCTTGTCTGATGCCACCACCATGCGCCTGGGAGGGAAGTGCATGGAGAGGAACAAGGGACAGGGAGGGAACAGGGGCAAGGTGAGTGCACCAGCACAAGGTGCCCCGGCCTTGAGCTGCTCCAGCATTCGCTCCAGCAGAGCCAGCTTGTCTGATGCCACCACCATGCGCCTGGGAGGGAAGGGACGTACACAGAAGGTGAGGACAGGGGACAGGGGAAGGGAGGGAATAGAGGTGACGGGCATTGCTACCGTGTGTGTGGCGCTCCAGAATTCGCTCCAATTGGGACGTCTAGTTGGATACTACTGCCATATTGGTGCGACTTTTGAGAAACCTCAAAAGTCGCACCGACATCCAGTAGGATGCTGCCACCATATGCCGGGGAAAGAAGACAAGTACATGGAGTGAGAGTGTGCCAGCAGGAGAGGGTGAGTGAAAACCCTCCTTTCCCACTTCTTCCTCGTGCCCCTTCCATGGAACGGGTGCCAGCACATCTTCCTTAGCTGTGGTCTCTCTGTGCGGCCATTTCCCCCCCCCCACCCCACCGTCACTAACCGGCTGGCTTCTGCTGGGGTATCTCCGCCTCCGTGCTGCTCCTCCACGCCCTCCACCAGGAACGGGTGGCAGCACACCTTCCTCAGCTGCATCATTGTGTTTGTGAGGGAGACCTGGGGGGGGGGTGAAGGCAAGGTAATAACAACGGGAGATGAGAAGAGGAGATGCAGACAGCACCCCCTCCACGCCCTCCACCAGGAACGGGTGGCAGCACACCTTCCTCAGCTGCATCATTGTGTTGGTCAGCGATACCTGAAGGGGGGACATGAAGGGAAGGCGGGTGGGAGGGGGAGCAGGCGGGTGAGTACCGTACCGGGCACAGCAGGAACAGGTGACACTCTTTGCGCCCTTCACCAGGCACGGGTGGCAGCACACCTTCCTCAGCTGCATCATTGTGTTGGTCAGGCATACCTGTGACTCGTGAGGGGAGATGAAGGTAAGTAAAGGGTGGTAACAGCCGTATACGCTGAGTAAGGGGAGAAAGTTGAGGGTAGCACACGTATAAGCACAGCCGTGCTCCATGAATGGAACGCACCTGCTGCCCGGACGCCTTGGTAAGCACCTGGTAGTTGTGATGCGAGTGAGCACAGTGCAGTGCTGCTATAAGTAAGGAGCAGAAGTACAGCGTTCCCTGCGTAAAACGTACCTGCTGCCCCGACGCCTTGGTGAGAACCTGGTAGTTGCAGGTGAGCACAGCACGGTGCAGCGAGCGATCCCCAAGTAAAGACGACAAGCACAGTATTACGTGTTCGGTGCAGTGGTGTTTGTAAGTAGCAGGTGCAAGTACGGCACTCCGTGTGCACAATGTACCTACCTGCTGCCCAGACGCCTTGGTGAGAGCCTGGTAGTTGCGGGTGAGCACAGCTCGGTACAGCGAGCGCTGCAGCGGCGCCAAGTCCACACGCAGAATCTGCTCCTTCTTGGGCGGCATCTGCTTCAACACGTCCTTCTTCAGCCCTGGGAGAATACCGGGTGGAGAGTGGACGGGGAAAGAGAAATGGAGAGCAACATATAAGGTGGTGGTGAGGGTGTCATTTTCATGGCTCTGCTCCTTCTTGGGCGGCATCTGCTTCAACACGTCCTTCTTCAGCCCTGGGAGAAGAGAGTGAGGGGGGAAGGACAATGTCCAATATAAGGAACCTCGTCTGATGAGCAAGAGCTTCACGACCAGAGGTTTGAAGCATAAGGCTCAGAGTTTAAAAATTCAGGGTCTTTAAATTTAGAGGTCGGGGTATCGATTCAGATGTGTTTACATGTGGTGAGGTGTGAGCAGGTGATGCAGCTTGGCCACTCGCTACTGTGCCATGCATGTAGAGCGAGCAACGGGATCAACAACGAGAGGAGCAAGAGCTTCAGCCACTAGGGTTCAGGGCCTTGGGCTTGGAGTTTGGGGTTTGTGGCTATGTGGAGAAAGACGCGTCCAGCGTCCTGGACGCATGCGTCCAGAAGCATGCGTCCAGACGATGGACGCTAGTTTAGGGCCCCCGAGACGCAGCAAAAGACGCAGGTCCGGGCAGCCAGAAAAAACCCCCCGGGCAGCCAAAAAAAAGTTGGGCTTTGTGGGGGTTTTCATGAACTAAATGGGCTTTGTGGGGGTGGTGGACCACAAAGGTTGGGTTTCCTAGTTGTGGAGTGGTGGAGAGGGGTTGGATTTCCAAATCAATTTTGCAAAAAGGGGAGGGGGTTAGGGGTGAATTAGATGGCTGGTTTTGGGGGTCGAATTTGCTTGGGGGGTGTCGAATTTCGGCGAAATTGACATTCGCGACGAAATCGCGAATGTCAATTTCGCGATCGCGAAAAAAAAAAAAAAAAATCTCGGTCTGCCCGAAAAAATTTCCAGGGTGCGTCCTGCGGCCGGACGCGCGTCCTGCGTCTTTGCGTCCGGACGCAGGACGCAGGGCTGCCCCAGCGTCTTTCTCCACATAGGTTTGTGGTTTCAATTCAGGTATGCTTACGCCTGAGCAGGTGTGGCGCTAGCAGGTGGTGCAGCTTGGCCACCTGCTGCCATGCCGAGTATGAATAACAAAAGCAACAAGAGCTTCAGGGTCTGGGGATCGGAGCTAGTGGTTTTGATTCAGGTATGCTTACGCCTGAGCAGGTGTGGCGCCAGCAGGTGATGCAGCTTGGCCACCTGCTCCTCCTGCCCCAGCTGCTGGAACTCGCCCTGAAACCCCTCCAGACTCGCAAACTGCCGCCAGGGTGTTATGGTGCAAGGGCACCCGGAACATAGCATGGGAGCACACCGGGGAAGGGACACAAGGCAAGGGGGTTATGGTGCAAGGGGCAACACGAACATAACACAGAAAGACACGGGGCAAGGCAGGGAAAGAGTTCGAGTGGGGTTGGGGGCAAGGGAATGGTGCAGCTTTTCTCTAAGGGAATGCAAGATAGCTACAGAGGAACCTTACCGGCTGCCGTTGCCAGGGGAACCGCTTGCCATACTCAATCTTTCACCTCACCTCACTCACCCATATTGAGTACTTCGTTTGTACTTTGGTGGCATCCAGAAACCACATGGTCGCCTTCCCATCGCATTGCTAACGCTCACCCTCTCGCCTCACTTCGCTCTCTCCCTCGCGATAGGTTGGTCACGCTCCTCCCCTCAACTTTCCTCACCTCACCTCACCTCACCTCACCTCACCTCACCTCACCTCACCTCACCTCACCTCACCTCATCCCCATCCACTCCATCGCTCACCTTATCGGCATCGAGGAAGTGCATGAGGATGAAAAGTTCGTCCAGATTGTTCTGCCAGGGGGAAATGGGGGGACATGTGGATGCAAGATAAAGGGGGGAGCAAGGGAAGGGTGCAGGAAGAGGATGAGGACGGACTTAGAGCAGCGGGAACAACTTGGACGCAGCAGCGGGGAGACAGTGAGGGGGGCAATGCATTGCACAACCCGTTACCTGCAGAAAAGTGCGTCGAGTTTTGAGTCGACTCAAAACTCGACTCAAAACTTGAGTCGACTCAAAACTCGACTCAAAACTTGAGTCGACTCAAAACTCATTGCACAACCCGTTACCTGCAGAAAAGTGCCGGTGAGCAGCAGGGGGTGCAGGGAGGAGTAGCTGTGCGGCGTGCCGGACAGCTTTGACTCCTTGTTCTTCAGGCGGTGCCCTTCATCCACCACCACGCACCCCCACCGCACCAACACCACCCTCTCTTCACCCCCACCCCCACGCCCTCACCTGCAGGCTGCTACCACTGAACACGTTACCTCAAGAAGAGAGCCCAGCCAGCATACCTGGACACACAGTGTAGGGCACGGCACAACTCGCTAGTCACCTGCAGGGGAGTGCCGGTGAGCAGCAGGGGGTGCAGGGAGGAGTAGCTCTGCAGCGTCCCAAACAGCTTGCTCTCCTTGTTCTTCAGCCGGTGCCCCTCGTCCACCACCACGCACCCCCACCGCACCAACGCTACCCACCACCCCACCCTCTCTTCAACCCCATGCCCTCATGCCCTCACCTGCTATCACTGAACACGTTACCTCAGAGGAGAGCCCAGTTAGCATACCTGGACACACAGAAATGGGCACAGCACAACTCGCTAGTCACCTGCAGGGGAGTGCCGGTGAGCAGCAGGCGGTGCAGGGACGAATAGCTCTGCAGCGTCCCAAACAGCTTACTCTCCTTGTTCTTCAGGCGGTGCCCTTCGTCCACCACCAGGCACCCCCACCGCACCTGCCTCAGCTGCTGCGAGTCACTGTTCACCGCCTCGTATGACGTCAGAAGCACGTCAAACCTCACCCGCTCCTGCCGGGACAGTTGCTGTTGCTGCTGCATGCGCCCACCAGGGGGAATGCGTTTGCTGCCCCCCTTGATGCTGCCGCCCCCCCCTGCTTCTGCCTGCTGATGCGCTGCGTGGCTCGCGCTTTCCACGATGAGTGCCTTTCCCACTGCGCCTGACCTTCGCCCGCTTGCTCAGTGGCATTTCCTCCTCGTCCTCTTCTTCCTCCTCTTCCTCTTCCTCCTCCTCATTCTCACTACCCTCCTCTTCACTCGCCTCCTCCTCACTCTCCTTCTCCCCACTCCCCTCCTCTGCCACCACCACATACTCCTCATCATCCTCATCAGAAGACTCATCTGATGACGATGCTGACTCTCCCCTCCGCCGCTTCCGCCCCTTCTGTTGCTGCTGTTGCTTCATCTCCCTTCCTCTCTTCTTCCCTCGATCCTTCGTTCCCTTCACTTCTCTTAGCCTGCCCTTCTCCCGACCCCTAACATCCCTCCCTGTACTATCGCTTCTCATCACACCCCTGCTCCTTGCCTCCCTATCTTGCTCTCTCGTAACACTGTGGGAAGCCCTCGTCCCCATCTGCCTGCGTCTACTCTTCCCTGCCTGCTCTTCCTCCTCCTCTTCCGCTTCCTCCTCCTCCTCTTCCTCCTCCTCCTCTTCCTCCTCCTCCCTTTCCTCCTCGCCTCCTCCCTCCATATCCTCCAGCACTCCAACCTCTTCCACCTCATCCTCACTATCCCCATCTGACCCGCCAGAGGGCTCCTCAGACTTCTCAGACTCAGAAGACAGCACCATCCTCCCACTCTTTCGTTTCCTCTTGGGCCGCTGCACCTGTCGTGATACCTCCCTCCCGACCTTCCCACCTTTCCCTTTGTGTCCACGCTTCTTGCTCTCTCCACCCTTCCCTTTCTCGCCACCTTTCCCCTTCTTCCCGCCCTTCACCTGCTTCCCTTGCGTGCGCGTATCCTTGGTTGAAGGAGGAGGGGGAGGCGTGTAGGAGGAGGGGAAGAAGAACTCGTGTTCTCGAATCAATGCTCTTGCTGCTCCTGTTCCCACATACATCATCTGCACGCATGCACACGTATACATGCCCACATGCATAGATGCACATAAGTGCCCCCATGCACCCGTACACCCATGCACCCATGCACCCATGCACCCATGAACCCATGCACCCATGAACCCATGCACCCATGCACCCATGCACCCATGCACCCATGCACCCATGAACCCATGCACCCATGGACACGAGCATGTACGCATGCACACATGAACACATGCGACGTGCACATGAACACATGGACACGTGGCCACACGCCCACATGCCCCCAAATGCACACATGCACACATGCACACATGCACACTTGCAGACATGCACACATGCACACACGCAGACATACACACGTGCACACATGCACACATGCACACATGCACACACGCAGACATGCATACGTGCACACATGCACACATGCACACAGGCACGCACGCACGCACACAAGCACACAAGCATGCACGCACACACGCATGCACCCATGCATGCGTGCACACATGCACACATACCCCCATGCATGCATGCGAAATGTGTGTGTGGTAAGCACAAGAGTGCAGAAGGGCAAGGGAAGGAGGAGATAGAGTTGTGAGACACCGCATGACACACCAGGCGTGTGTGAGCAAGCAAGCATAAACATGAGACAGCATAAGCAGGTTCGGGGTACGCCAGGGAAGAAGGGAGTGGGAAGGGGAGGAGCGAGGGAGGGAGGGAGGGAGGGAGGGAGGGAGGGAGGGAGGAGGGAGGGAGGGAGGGAGGGAGGGAGGGAGGGAGGGAGGGAGGGAGGGAGGGAGGGAGGGAAGGAGGGAGGAAGGGAAGGAGGGAGGGAGGGACGAGCCACGTGCACATGGACGGACCATGTGGAAAATTCCACTGCTACTTGCGCGGCACAGAGCAGAAAGGAGCATAAACGTCGACGGGTTGGACACTCACCACGCACAGGTGCGGCGCCCGCCCACGTGGCGAATTCGCGCTGCCAGTTGCGGAGAGTCCAGAGCGGCGCGACCACCATGTGAGGGAGTGCAGAAGAGTACAGAGCGGTACAGAGCGGTTGATAGGGCACTCACCACTCGCAGATGGGGCGCCCATGTTGCAAACTCGCGTTGCCAGTTGCGGAAAGTGGAGAGCGGCACGACCACCATGTGGGGGAGTGCAGAGGGAGGGGTACTGAGGGGCCTAGCGCAGCAGGGGCTACGAGAGCATGTGCACTCACCACGCGCAGGTGGGGCGCCCAAGTTTCAAATTCGCGCTGCCAGTTGCGCAGAGTTGAGAGCGGCACGACCACCATGTGAGGGAGTGCTGTGGCCCTCTCCTCGTGCAGGGATGCGAGGAAGGAGATTGCCTGCACTGTCTTGCCTGCGGTGGGTGGGTGGGAATAAATAAGGAACGCACCAGGGTGAGAGACAAAGGATGAGGAAAGGGGGAAGGCAGCACGAGGTGGGTTGCATGAGCGCTGTGGCCCTCTCCTTGTGTAGCGATGCGAGGAAGGAGATCGCCTGCACCGTTGCACGAGACGGTGCACCGTCGTGCCTGCGATGGATGGGTGGGCATGAGGGACGACGGTGGGAAGGCAGCAGCAGCAGGTGTTGAGATGAGAGAGGCACTAGGGAGTGGTGGGGTGGCCTCTCCTCGTGCAGTGAGGCACCGTGTTGCCTGCGGAGGGTGGAAGGCGAGAGACAGATGGACGGCTTTTGAGGGACGAGGGATGCAAGAACACGACCAGCTGGTGGCGAGATGAGTGAGGTTGACGTTGACGACCTCATCACATGAGAATTCTCAAAAGAGATGAGTGAAGTTGACGGCCTCATCACATGCAGCGATGCGAGGAGGAACATGGCACTGATGACCATCTTGGAACCCACGTATGCCACCCATCCACCCAGCCTATGTGTCGCACGGTCGCACCACCCACCCAGCCTATGTGTCGCACCAACGTGACTCACCCAGCAACCCAGCCCCACTTGTGCACCTCACCCAACCCACGTCCCCTCCTGCGGCTCATCCCAACCCCCCCAACCCCCCCTCCCTGCGACTCGCCCAGCCCCCCCCTTCTCCCCTTATGCAGCTCACCCCAACCCCCGCCCGCACCCCCTCTTCCCCCCCCCTCCCCTGTGGCTCACTCACCCAGCCCCATCTCGTCCGCCAGAATCACGTGCTGCTTCTGCTGCCTGTATGTGTTGAAGTGCCTCACACACACAACCACCCCCCCTTCTCCCTCATGCGGCTCACCCCAACTTCCCCCCCCACCCCACCCCCCCCCATGTGGCTCACTCACCCAGCCCCATCTCGTCCGCCAGAATCACGTGCTGCTTCTGCTGCCAGGCGAATCGCAGCCAGTTGAGCCCCTCCAGCTGGTACGGGTGCAGCATACCTGGACAGGTTTGAAGAGAGAGAAAGGCATAGGGGGTGATATGGGAAGAGCATGCGTGTAGGTGCAGCGAACCAGGACGACTTAAAAGCGAGAGAAAGACGTGGAAGGTCAGGAGGTGATTCAGCTAGCTGCATAGAGGTGCAGCGAACCTGGACGGTGGCAAAGTGAGTGGAAGAAACATGGGGTTAAAGCAGGAGAAGGAGAGCAGGACAGGGGAGCACGGCTGAGCAAGCAGACAAGAGCAAGCAACACAACAGGGATGGGAAGGACAACTAGGAAGACAGACAGGCGATGGTGGTGTCTAACAGTCGTGTTACATTGCATGCTTAACACTTGTGTTAACAGTCATATAACAAGGAGGGGATAGCAGTTAACAGTACAGTTACCAGACTTCAAGATGCGTCGCCTCGGCTGGCATGCAAAAGCACCAACCTTTCAGAAAGCCGGGTGTTTCCTTGAACTCCATTCGCTTCCTCTTCTGCACTCCCCTCTCTGCCTCCTTACCCGCTCCCTCTCCCCCGCCCACCAGTCCCCACGCCACTGCTTTAGGTCCTCTCGCCATCATCTCCTCATACTCCTTAAGAGCCTCCTCGAAACCTTCTACAACTGCCTCACCACTCTCCTCCTCTCCTTTCTTTCTCACACCCTTCTTCCCTTTTCCATCTCCTCCTGACCCTTTCTTCCCTTGATCACCATCCTTCGCCCCATCCTTCAACCCCTCCTTTTGCTCTTCTTTCATGCCATTGGCCGGCTCTCTTCCTTTGCTCCGCAAATCCTCCTCTGTCTCCCAGGTAGCCTCGTCGTACCCCAACTCTCGCCACTTAACTAAGTACTCCTGCTGCCCCTTGCGGTTCTTCCTGCGAAAACAACAGCCACGGGGAGAAGGAGCAGAGTAGGAGGCTGGCAAATGAAAACTTTCCTGATTGAATTGCAACAAGGCATGGCAGAAAGAGTGGAAAATGTCATTTTCTAGTCGACTTATACACAGGAGCACAAAAAGTGATTCTTGGTGAATAACAGCACATGGGAGCACAAAAAGTGATTCTTGGTGAATAACAGCACACGGGAGCACAAAAAGTGATTCTTGGTGAATAACAGCACACGGGAGCACAAAAAGAAGGTGACAACAGCGCAGCAACGCAAACCACTCATCACTCATTCACGATTCTCTCCACAACTAGCCAATCAGGTATTTTAATTAGAATTCGGAAAAATCGAATTCAACAGCGCAGCAAAGCGAACCACTCATCACTCACTTGGCGTTGACAATTCGCTCCACAACCAGCCAGTCAGGTCGCAGCACTGGCACCGCCCCACTCTCCTCCGGGTCCTCCTCCCCATCCCCGTACAGTGCGCTCTGTGCTGCTGCCTCTGCCCTCTGCCGCAGGTAGTTCCTCATCCGGGCTTTAAGCCCCGGAAAGCTCTTTGCTGCTGCCTCCAATGCTGTAGCTCCCACCCTGAAAAGCGGGGGGGGGGTTGGGGGAAGGGAGACGCAAAGGGGAAGAAGGAGGGGAGGGAGAGGAGGGAGTGAGGGATACTGAACGGCGAGGGGATTGAGAAGGCATGGTGCTCTGGAGTCTGGGCGCCTCTGCCCGCTGCCGCAGGTAGTTCCTCAACCAAGCTTTAAGCCCTGGAAGCTCTTTGCTGCTGCCTCCACCGTTGCAGCTGCCACCCTGAAGATATTTAAGGGGGTTGAAGGGTTAAAGGTGGAGCAGGGGAGCAGTGAAGCGGTGGGGATTTTTGTCGATTTACAAACAGGCAACGAAAGTGGTGAAACGGGAGAGGAAAAAAAGAGTGTGTGAGAGCTAACGGGAGAAAAGGAGAAAGCACGCTAGTCATTGTAGATCCCCTACAAGCAGTCAGACAGAGCGAGCACGTCAAGTGGTCCGAATGAGTACTAAGGAGTGCGTGTGAGGGAGAGAAACGGAGTGGGAGGGATGTTCTGAGTCGACTCAAAGCAAGACTCGTTTCCCGCGGAATATGTCGACTCGCTGAGAATATGTCAGAAGACCGAGTAGTCCGAATGAGAGTTAAGGAGCGTGTGTGAGGGAGAGAAACGGGGTCGGAGGGAGGTTCAACAAGAGGAACAGGAGTATACCAGGTGCAATGAATGTGCGACTTGTCCCTCCACTTGATCAAATACTCCTCCACTCGCCTCCTCTCACCCCGCCCTCCACTGTCATGGCCATCTCTACCACCATCGCCACTCCTCTTGCCATCACCAACCCCCTCTCTGGTCCCCCCATCCACCGCCACCTCTCTTCCCTCACCACCCTCTCCGCCCCCCTCGCCCCCCTGCTCCACCTCTCTCACGCCCAAAAACCGCTCCACTGCTGACCAGTCATGGCCCTGCATGAGGAGAGCCAGACGGGCGAGAGAGAGGGGGGGGTGAGCGAACAGTAATCGCAAAAAAATGCGAGATTGTGGCTTGGGTCTCATGTACTCATTTCAAATACATGCATGACATAGCATCGCATGGCACGGCATGGGATGGCATGGGATGGCATGGGATGGCATGGGATGGCACAGCACGGCATGACACGGCACGGCACGGCATGGCACGGCATGGCATAGCATGGCACGGCATGGCATGGAATGGCATGGCATGGCATGGAATGGCATGGCATGGCTTGGCATGGCATGTGACTCACGCATTTGGGGCAGAACCAGGCGCCTTCAGGCACGTGGGAGAGAGGCGGGTGCAGGCAGTACAGATGGTACACAGCGGGGCACGCGTCACACATCAGCAACTCTCCATCGCCCCCGCACACCTCGCACACGTCATCGTCCTCCGCAGCCACCTCAGCTTCCTCTCCTGACACGTCAGCATCCCCCCCAGCCTTCTCCTCTGACACGTCAGCATCCCCCTCAGCCTCCTCCTCTGACACGTCAGCATCCACCTTAGCTGCCTCTTCATCCCCCCCCTGCTCATCTCCCACCTCCACCCCCTCCATCGCCTCTTCGCCACCCCTCCCCGTCTTCCCCTCGGCTTTCCCCGCACTTCCGCTTCCCCCCGCCTTCCCACCCTTCCCCGTGGCCGTCGTTGCGCCATCCAGCTTTTCCCCCCCTGCTGCTCTTGGAGACGCGGAGGGTTCTGCTTTCACCGTCTCTGATCGCCTCTCCTTCCCCTTACCACCACCTCTTTTCTCGCTTGTTTTTGCATCTGTTTTCCTTGATTTGACATCCGATTTCCCTGTTTTAGTCGCCTTTCCGCCTCTTCCGCTACCCCCTCCCGCCTCCTCCCGCTCCTGCTCCCGCAGCCAGGCTTCGAACGCCGCGTCGTCGTCGTCGTCAGTGTAGACGGGTAGCCGTGAGCTGCGATTCGACCGGTTGGAGAACCGGCGGGATTGCAAGTCCCGCGACATCGCTTACCTCCCGCCTTTGGGATTCCCGGATCGCACGCAACCAGGTTCGACGATTTCGCAGCCTGAAAATCCGCCACAATCGCCGCTTAGGGATTAATTGCACGCATAACATGTGAACGCATCAGGTTATTGGACGGGACTGGAGGAGATTAAGGACTAAATAAATCATGATAGTCTCAGTGGGTAGGACTATGTGATGCCATAGGTCCAGATCTGAAATGTCCTATCATCTTCCTCATCAGGCCTATGGTATGGTGGCGTGCGAAAACTAGAAACCACCTTTCGCCGAATGTCGCTAACGTGCGGTAACCCTATCGCACAAACCATGTGGGAACCTTGAGAGTTGTCCTCAGAGGTGGTTCGTGAGTGAGTGTGAAGCAGGGGACCCATGTCATCCATGACATGGCATGAGGTGACATGAAACGGCCTGGCCTGGAGGAACCCGAACTGCAGGGTGACTTGTAACGACATAGCTGGAATGTTGGAAACTCAAGGCGTTTCAACATGCCACAACAGTCGTTCTGTGCCTGGAGCCTATCACTGGGCGGAAGTGACCTCCTAGAGTGCTGTCTCAGCAGAGAACACAATTGGGCAGATGAAACTCTGTTGAAATCTCTATTGAAACATGAAACTGCCCGTGAAAAAAAAGTACAGTAACAATAGAACCCTAAACCAATACAGTAATAATAGAACCCAAAACCCTTCATATTGCCCATCCAACAATTGGGGTTCTCATATCAGTTTGTAACTTTTTAGTTTAGTTACACTTGTCCCAGACCCATTCCTAGCCCATTTTCCTTGTTAATGCGATCCAAAGGGGGCCCATCATAACAAGGCGTGAATGCGTCATGTCATCCATCATAACAAAAACACCAAAACCCAACCACCGTTACGCCAAGAACCTTCATTCCTCTAATGACAAAGAGCGTCCCGACTAGAGGCACCCACCGTCTCTATTCCCGCTTAATTTGCACGCGTCTCGCAATCACACGTCTTGTCAGAACATTATAGCTTATGCTATTGTGTAGGCTTTAGTGGGGTATCCCATACGGGGTACAACCCAACTAGGGTTTCATATTTGTACTCGCTTCATTCATAGTTCACACCATTCTCGTTCTAATCTTCTCATGGTATCGAGCAGGCTCCCCCTTGGGAACTGTGCTTAGGGCCCACCACATCAAGTTTTTTTTTTCCTGCCCGAAGCGCGCTCAGCCCGAGTCGCGCTCCGGGCCCTCACTTCGTCGAGCCGCTCTAGCGGCCCTTCACTGCGGCCCCGCCGCCTGTCTCAGCGGCCTCGCCGCCCTTTTCTGCGGCCCCGCCGCCTCTCTCGTTGCGGCCCCGCCGCCCTTCACGGCGGCCCCGCCACCCGTCTCAGCGGCCCAGCCGCCCGTCTTCGCGGCCCCGCCGCCTCTCTCGCTGCGGCCCCGCCGCCCGTCTCAGCGGCCCCGCCGCCTGTCTTCGCGGCCCCGCCGCCTCTCTCGCTGCGGCCCCGCCGCCTCTCACTTCGGCCCCGCCGCCCGTCTCTACGGCCCCGCAGCCCGTCTCCGCGGCCCCGCCGCCTCTCATTGCGGCCACGCCGCCCGTCTCAGCGGCCCCGCCACCCGTCTTCGCGGCCCCGCCGCCTCTCACTTCGGCCCCGCCGCCCGTCTCTGCGGCCCCGCCGCCCGTCTCCGCGGCCCCGCCGCCTCTCTAGCTGCGGCCCCGCCGCCTCTCACTGCGGCCCCGCCGCCCCTCTCGCTGCGGCCCCGAGCCCTACCAGCGGCCCTACGGCCCTACACCGCCCGCGCCACCCGAGCTGCCCGACCCGCCCGAGCCGCCCGAGCCGCCCGAGCTCCCCGACCTGCCCGAGCCGCCCGAGCCGCCTGAGCTGCTGAGGAGCCGAGCCGCCCGACCCGCCCGAGCCGCCCGAGCCGCCTGAGTCGCCCGAGCCCCCTGAGCCCCTGAGGAGCCAAGCCGCCCGACCCGCTCGAGCCGCCCGAGCCGCCTGAGCCGCTGTGGAGCCGAGCCGCCCGAGCCGCCCGAACCGCAGTTGCTGCTGAGCCGTCCGAGCAGCCGCGTTGCTGTGCTGCTGAGCTGCCCGACCCGCCCTGTCTGGTGAGAGCAGCGCTCCTGTCACTGCACTGCCCCTGTCCTACAGGTAGTACTACTAGGCTACTGTCGTCATGGCTACCCCTAGTGTCCTCGCTTTTGATGCTGAGGGTCGGGCCATTGACTTTGAGGTCTGGGTAGACGACCTGCAGCTGTTCTTACAGTGCGATAGGGCAGACGGCCTCTCTCTTTTTGACCTTACCTCTGGCGCTTCCCCTGCCCCTGCTGCTGATGCTGACGCCACTGTTCGCTCCCAGTGGGCCACGCGCGACGCTGCTGCACGTCTTGCTGTGCGTCGCCACCTCCCTACCTCCGAGCGTGCGCACTTTAGTCAGTACAAGAGTGCTCAGACCTTGTACGATGCTGTAGTCGCGCGCTACTCCTCCCCTGCCACTGCTGCACTGAGCCGTCTCATGCTACCGTACCTCTTCCCTGACCTTGCTGCCTTTCCCACCTTCGCTGACCTCATTACGCACCTCCGCACTAGTGACACTCGCTACCGCGCTGCACTCCCTGCTGACTTCTGCGCCAAGAACCCCCCCCCCCCATGTACATCACTCTGTACTTTCTAGTCACTCGCCTTCCTGACTCCCTTCGTGTAGTCAGGGACCACTTTCTCTCAGTCTATCCCACCACACTCACTGTCGATCTCCTCGAGAAGGCCCTCTTAGCAGCGGAGAGGAGTATAGTCGCTGTAGGAGCCTCTCGAGGTGACCCGCGCACCCCCATCTTTGAGGGGTGTTCCCCCTCCCCCCTGCTGCCCTCTGTTGCCTCTGCTGCTACGGCCGACCTCCTTGGTCTTGAGTCAGTCGGTGCGGCGTCTGCCCCTAGCGGGAGACGCCGCCCTGGCAAGGGCAAGGGGGGCAAGGGAGCTGGAGGAGCGGGCGGTGGAGGTGGAGGTGGAGGCAGTGGGGGTAGTGGGGGTGGCGGTGGGAGTGGAGGTGCGGGTGGGGGGGTCGGTGGCGGCGGTGGAGGCGGAGGCGGCGGCGGCGGTGGCGGTGGGAACGGAGGTGGCGGAGGAGGCGGCGGTGGAGGCGGCGGTGGAGGTGGCGGTGGAGGCGGCGGCAGTAGCGGAGGCGGCGGAGGCGGTGGGGGTGGCGGTGGAGCTGGTCACGGGCCTTCGCAGAGGAGTGGCTCCGGTAGTGGCGCGCGCCAGCAGCAGCAGCGCGGTCGTGAGACCCTGTCCCCAAAGCAGCTCCGTGAGTGGTACACTGCACGCCCGCGGGGTGGGGGTTTTGGTCCATGCACCTAGTGGTTGGGATTCTGACATGGTATCGAGCAGGTTCCCTAGTGGGAACTGTTCCTAGGGCCCACCTACTATTCCGTCCTGCCCGGAGCGCGCTCTGCCCTAGCGCGAGTCGCGCTGGGCCTTTTTTTTTCCTTTGGCGGCCCGATCGCGTCGAGCCGCCCGCGAATTTTTGACGCGCCACCTACGCGGCCTCGTCGCGCCGCCCCTAGACGGCCGCGCCGCGTCGCGCGTGCCGCCCTCCAGTCGCGCGCCGCCCCCCTCTGACCCTCGCGACGCCGGCGCCGTCTCTGACGGCCCCGCGATCGCCTGTGACGGCCCCGCCGTCCCCTCTGCCGGCCCCGCCGCTGCACCCGACGGCCCCGCTGTCCCCTCTGCCGGCCCCGCCGCTGCTTCAGACGGCCCCGCCGCTGCACCTAACGGCCCCGCCGTCCCCTCTGACGGCCCCGCCACTGCACCTAACGGCCCCGCCGTCCCCTCTGACGGCCCCGCCACTACACCTACCGGCCCCGCCGCTACCCCTGAAGGCCCCGCTGCTGTACCTGACGGCCCCGCCGCTTCACCTACCGGCCCCGCCACTACCCCTAACGGCCCAGCAGCTGCATCTCCCGGCCCCGCCGCCCCAGCAACTGCGCCGCCCCAGCAGCCGAGCCGCCCCAGCAACCGAGCCGCCCCAGCAGCCGGGCCGCCCCAGCAGCTGAGCCGCCCGAGCCGCCCGAGCCGCCGAGCCGCCCGAGCTGCCCAGCAGCCGACCCGCCGAGCCGCCCGAGCCGCCCGAGCCGCCCGAGCCGCCCGAGCCGCCTGCACTGCCCTGTCTGGTGAGCACTGAGCTTTACTCTGCGCACTGCCCTTACCCCACTGCTGTCATGGCTACCCCCAGTGTCCTCACCTTCGACGCTGAGGGCAGAGCCATCGACTTTGACGTGTGGGTAGACGACCTGCTGCTTTTCCTACAGTGCGACAGAGCTGACGGCCTCTCTCTCTTTGACCTCACTTCTGGTGCCTCTCCCGCCCCTGCTGCTACTGAGGATGCCACTGTTCGCTCACACTGGGCCACACGCAATGCTGCTGCACGTCTTGCTCTGCGTCGCCACCTCCCTCCCTCTGAGCGTGCACACTTTGGGTCGTACAAGAGTGCTCAGACCTTGTACGACGCCGTTATTGCACGCTACTCCACCCCTGCCACTGCTGCACTGAGCCGCCTCATGCTACCGTACCTCTTTCCCGACCTTGCTTCTTTTGCCACAGTCGCCGACCTCATTACCCACCTGCGCACTAGTGACGCTCGCTTCCGCGCTGCGCTTCCTGCTGAGTTCTGCGCTAAGAACCCCCCCCCCCAGTACTTCACTCTCTACTACATTGTCACCCGCCTCCCTGACTCCCTCCGCGGAGTCAGGGACGACTTACTCTCAGTCTGCCCCACCACTCTCACTGTTAACCTACTCAAGAAGTCCCTCCTAGCAGCCGAGAAGAGCATTCTCGCTGTAGGGGCCTCTCGTGGTGACCCGCGCACCCCCATCTTTGAGGGGTGTTCCCCCTCCCCCCTCCTGCCCTCTGTCGCCTCTGCTGCTACGGCCGACCTAGTTGGTTTTGAGTCGGTCGGTGCGGCGTCTGCCCTCAGTGGGAGACGTCGCTCTGGCAAGGGCAAAGGGGGCAGGAGCGGTGG